AGCCCGGAAAAGTGGCATTCCCTTTCTACAGAGACTTCACACTCACGTGTCAAAGACTAGACAGATATTTAGCAATATTGGCCAAAAAACATCTTGAAACCAAATTTTCGAAGCTGAATGTGGAAAGGGTGCCATTACTTTGTGGCAGACTTTGGATCAAAGTCACTCCTACACTAGCTCTCTTAAGAGAGAGAAAATGCAGAATTACGCTGTTGGACACACCGACCTAGAGATGCAGCTGAGTTAGCTGTGAAAGTTTCGAATGGGTGCTCCGATATCTTGAATCACTGAGAAAATTCATGGCGCCACCTTCTCAGAGACAAGAGAAGTTTGGGATAAACTTCACAGAGCTGGGAAGGGAAGCTGTTTGAGGGAAGAGATGGAATTCCAATCCTGCTTCAATTCTGTCCAAACTGTTTGTTTGTTTATGTGAGATTTAAACACACTTTCTAAATTCTATTGATTTTGGTTCATAGACCATCTGATATTTATATTCTAGCATTCTTCACTGATCTGTTATATGCAAAGACAACTTTACTAGTTTTTCTGTGGCCTTGTGTTTTAAGTGAGCCATCTCTCCAGCCCTTGTGGTTTTTCTTTCTTTCTTTTTTCTATTTTAAAGTAATCTTAATCAGGTTTCTGTATAAATGCTGCTCTTTCAAGAGTGTCTTATGGGGTGAGTTGGTCAGAAGTTGAATAACTATGCTTCTTCCAGTTTGTTTTGTGTTTGTTGGGGGCTAGTTTGGGGAAGTTGCCTAGAAAGCCATACATTCTTCTAGGTATTCAGTTTTATTTCCAACATTTAGCAAACAGCATTTTTCTTAACTTAAAAAATAATCTTGTTTTGATCTGTGTTCTCCACTTTGGAGACGTTTTCCTCACAACTTATGCATGTTGACTTTTATTCAACAAATTTATTTGTTGTACAGCTTTTTAACCTTTTTTGACTTTATTCCTGTGTTTTTTAATTTTCTCAGTTTCCTCTAAGTGTTGACACGTGCTTAATTTGTTTTTATTTTTTCATGTCACTATTTGAGGTAAGTTCCAACTCCTCCATGCTTATCCACTAGTAGTAACCTGTTTGCTTTGTTGCTCTCAATATTCCTGCAGTTTTAATTAGGTTTTTTTTTTTTTTTTTTTTTTTTGGTTTTGGTTTTTCAGCACCGTTGCATAATAGCTGTGACAATGAGATGGTTCACTTGCCACCAAGGGCCTAGTGCCCCGAGTTTCCATTCTGGGAACCTGTATAAAGGTAAAAGGAGAGAACTAGCTCCTAAAATTTGCCCTCAGATCACTATACACGTGCCCTGGCACACACACACATGTGCATGCACAACACACACTAAATAAATAACTATAAAAAAGAAAGGAAAGGTTTTGGGTTGGTGAGATAGCTTAGTGCATAGTGGCACTTATAGCCAACACTGGTGACTTGGGTCCAGGCCCTGAAATCCACATGTGGAAGGAGAGAACCAACTTCCACATGTTGCCCTCTGACCTCTACTGGATGCTTGTTCAACACCCTTCCAAATAAGTTTTTTAAAAAGCTCTGATTTTGCTAACATTTTACCTTTATCTATTTCTCTCTACATTTAGGGCATTGATTGTATTTGGTCACATTATTTGTCTGTGTATAATATCCTTTCTGCCGGATGATATCCATGTGCTATTTCTGTGAGCAAGGGTTATTACTGTTAGGTTGTGTCTCTTCCTGCCACAGCCTGACTCAGTCTCCATTTTCTGTCTTGACCTTTGTGTAAATATTCTGAGCTGACTTCTCAGACATGATGTTGCCATCTGGCCAGACTATTGGATGCAGAAGAGCCTAGAAAGACGCTCAAGCTCAGTTAGGACGTCTTCCAAAGCTCAAAGACTTCCTTCATCTGCCTGCTCCCTGCAAACGCGGCATTCCTACACAGTCCCTCTTTGAAGTCACAGCTTTTGCTCTCCAAACAAAGTGGGCTCAGGAGGCCTCTGAGCCTCTCTAATGCTCTGCCCTGCCCCCAAGGTGACCCTCTGGTGTTCAGGGGCTCTTTCACTGCCATTGTCTGAGCTCTGTAATGATGGGACATGGTAACACCTCTTCTTCCTCTCCCAACTTCCAGGAGCTCAGCTCTGCTCTCAGTTCAGTTCTCAGAGTTAATCCCTATCCATACCTCCTAATAGTGCTACTCCCTATGGGATTATGGGGGGCAATTACATTCAGATACACACATACACACACACACACACACACTTTTACACTTCCCAAGGGGCTCTCGTTCTGTGGATATTTATTTCTCCAGGTGTCTCTAGGACTTATCACTGGCGGGTCCCTTTCCCTCTCATCCCTACACTCTCCTGCGCAAATGGTCTAGTCTTTGGGTCTCACCACATTCTGGAGTTTCTCTGTGTCTCATAAGATCACGAATTATGGAATGTATCGAGTTGGTTCTTCTGTGCTCACTTGTTACCTGGTAGTTTTCAGAAAGGAAGACGTTTGGACCTCGGCTGTGGCCAGGCTCCTTTTAGAAGGTTTTCATGCCTTTAACGTGTCCCTTGTGGAGCTAGTTGAGGGCCTGAGGATCAGGCATTCCGTCCGGTTAGAATCATACTTTAACACAGTAGAACAAAACAGACTCATGGTAGCCTTTTTAATGTCTTGTATTTAAGACTTTCAATGATAGTTTTTTTTTTTTTGCTAAACAGAAAAAATATATTTTAAATGAATTAGTTTTATATTTCTGGAAGTTGAGGCTGGGGTTGTGCACATTCTAGAACACTCTATCTGAGCTGCGTCCCTGAGGAGGGAAGTCCAGGTGCCCTACAACCTACACAGGTGTTAGGTCCAATAAGGCATCATAAACTGAAAACATCACTCTCAAAATTTACTTGATCTACTGAACATCACAGCTTCACATAGCCTATCATGCACAGGTTCAGTGTACCTAGCCTGGACTACAGTTGGGTAAAATCATCTAACCTAACAAAACCTCCCTAACAATAAAGTAGTGACAATCTTTCCCATTTGTTGAATACAGCATTTCTCGGTGTTCTGGGGGAGGGGAGACGACCTAGATCTAGGTCGCTCTTACAGGTCCCTTAGATAAGTATTTGCACATAACCTACACATCCTGTTTTCCTTAATTATCTGCCAAATTGATTGCAATGCCTAACAAAACAGACCGTAAATATCAGTTACAGTATGTTGCGAGAATAACCAAGGGGGAAGTTTGTACAAGTTAGTACAATTTTTTTTTCCCCCTGAATAGTTTCAGATCTGTGGTTGGTTCTCAGCCTAGAACTCCCAAGGTGCAGCCAACCTTCCGTTCTTTTAATCAGGACTGCAACGGTGGGCCATGGCGGTGACTGGAGACTGAGCCAAGCTCTTGCTGCCTAGCAATGGACCTGGGGTCGGGGAGGTCTGTGTGTTCAGGCTGCCTACTGATAGCTTAGAACTTAGAAACTACTAGGGTAGTTTCTGATGAATGGCACTGTCGGTGTTGTAGCAGCACAGAGCAAATGACAAACCATAGTCTGTAGCGACCCGGACAGAGTTAGCAACATTCTATCACACTACCTGGCCCCAGACAGCTCCCTTTGGCTTCCCCCAAGAGCACTTCTGTACCAGAATTTCATTCTGTAGATCTCCTACCCACCACTCGAAACAGAGGAAGCAAAAGCCCAGAGCCTTGAGTTTCCATAGCGCCTCTGCCAGCCTCACCTCCACTGGCAGCCCGGCCCCATTCTTGCCTCCCATCCTGGGAGAGATGTTCCTTCTCTCCAAGACTGCAACCTTCTTGTAGCTCCTATATTTCTGCTCTTTGACTTTTAGAATTTTACCAGTTATCTTTGTCTCTTCAGCTTTCATTTACAAATAAATTTTTACCTCTTCATCCCAAACAACCACACACATCCCTTCTCTCATTCCTTCTCTCGATTCCTCCAGCGTTTTGCTCTTCTTTCTCTCCGCAGCACACGTTGCCTTTTCCCCAAGCATGGGCCACCAACCCTCCCAGCCATTCTATTTGTCTGTCCCCCTCCACACATGGACATTGTTGTCACTAAGAGAAAGCCAACCCCCGTCCCAATCATTTCCTTCTCTGGAAACCCCATCAAGTCACGACACCCAGTACCTCGACTTCTAGAAAACAATAGAATCTCAGTCTTACTGGTCTTTTCTTCCCATCACTAAACCCTCACTCAGTAACTGCTAGGTTTCAAATCCAGGACAAAAGGTTGAGGTGCCTATTTAACATATCCAAGTGGACCTGGAGGCCAGGTTTCTCCTGCATCCCTCAGTTCCTCCCAGCCCATTCCAGGGTCCTCCTGGTTGGCACACCCCACCCTCTACCCTTAATTCTCCCTTCCGCCCGGAGGCTGGGCTGTCCTTCCTCCAGCTGCCCCTCCCTATATAATCCAGCCATTTTGGTTACTCCTTCCTTTTTTGGGTCTCCTGGTTAATGCACCCAGTTCCCCTCTCCCATCATTTCCCTTCTCCTTACATGGCTCAGGGCCGTGTCCACTATTGTGTCTTCCGGATGTTCCTGCATTTCTATGTCTCCTTTTATCTACAATAAACTGTCTCCTTCTCCTTCACCATACCTAGCTGCAGTTGTGTTCTCTCTCTCTCTCTCTCTCTCTCTCTCTCTCTCTCTCTCTCTCTCT